CAGATTAAAAGGGCATTCAGATCCCATGGTCACAGCTCTCTTCCTATGATGGGTTGCATTGTATTTCTATTAATGCTAATTATTTTGATAGATTGATTTAATCAATTTGTATGCAGATGTGACTCTGAGAAACTAACATATTAAAAGCAGTAATAATAAAAGTAATCCCTTGATAAAATGACCATCAAGGATATACCCAACAAAACAAAAGCCTCTCAGTGGGCCATTTAGGCTCATCTAATTTCTACATGTGCATCAATACATCTCTGCATTGTTATATGCAATTAGAGAGAAAGCTATGATATTTAACTTTTGGGAGGAAATCATATTCACCTTTGGTGTGATCAAAGTATAGATCTACTGGTATAGAAAAATGAGAATATGCCAGTTCTGAAGGAGCTACTTCTGAGTCCTGCAGTAGATCTCAAATTAGAGCATGTGTTTATATGTTGTATGGGTGTGTGTGTGTGTGTGTGTGTGTGTGTGTGTATATATATATATATATATATATATATATATATATATATATATATATATATCCTTAATGGTTATAAAAATACGAATCCCGGGCATATTTGTTCAATGATGCAATCTTCGATCTCCGGGAAGAGTATACTCCAGTTATTTATTGTTAAAACAACATTTAAAACAATAAAAACAGTTATATACAAGATTAAAACAACTTAGCTTTCGCTGGTCCTCTGCCAGCATCCTCAGGGTGGGGCTTAGGGGATGGGAAGTTCTTTTTATCCCCTTGCTGATCCAATTGCCTACTCATTGCCCTCGTGACAGGGCCACTCTTCCTGATTGCCTGTGACTGCCTTGCCTGTTCCGCCCTCTCTTTTTTGCACTCTAACATTGTATTTTCCTGCTTTGTCATCCTTGTGTTGTCTCCCCCTCCCTGCGCTGTTATCATTAACACACTCCCCAATCCCTCCTCCTTATCCAATGCAAGGTGCCTCCTCCGACTCGGCACTACACGAATCCTGTTGGGCTGCTGATCTGCCTGCCGTTTTTGCATACCATTGCCGGTTCCTATTTCAACTCCCTCTTCCAACCGCCCTCCTCTCCCAGCCTGCCGATTCATGCTCCCTTTGTTATCTATTCCTGTCATCCTTTTGTTATCCATTCCTGTCATCCTTCCCCCCCCTTCCTTCAACCCTCCCACCTGTTGATTAACATATTGCTCCTGCCTTTCATCGACCATTCTTATTGATGTTCTCTTCCTCAATATCTTTTCCTTCCTGATCCACTGCTCTATCTGCTGTTCCTGTTTACCCTCCTCCCCCACTGTCCATCTTCCCCTCTCCAATGTCCTCCCCATCATCTGCTGACTTGCTTGTTGTTCATCCATTTCTGTCCATCCTCTCTTTTCTAGCATTCCTCCTCCTCTGACCTGCCATCCTACATGCTGTTCCCACATGCCAACATCCGTTCCTGTTAAACCTCTCCTATTTCCTCCCCCCCTCTAATCTTACTCCCTGAGAAGGCAGTAAGAATGGAGGAGAATAGCCAGGAACAGCAGGTAGAGCTGCAGATTAGAGGGGGGGAGGAAATAGGAGAGGGTGGGGTTGATAGGAATGGAGAAGGGCAGGCAGGAATAATAGGCAGGACAGCAGTTTTGGGGGGGGGAAAGTTTGGGAAGGAGAGTCCAACAGGAACGCAGGTTGGTAGATGGGAACAGTATGTAGGACAGCAGGTAAAGGAAGGAAGAATGCTGGAAGTAACAGCAAACAGAGCAGTGGATTGGAGAGGGGGGGAGGAAACAGGAGAGGGGGGGACTGACAGGAAAGGAGAAGGGCAGACAAGAATAGCAGGCAGGATGGCAGATTGGGGGGGGGAGGAAAGCTTGAGAAGGAGGGTTTAACAGGAATGGATATTGGCATGTGGGAACAGCATGTAGGATGGCAGGTCAGAGGAGGAGGAATGCTAGAAAAGAGAGGATGGACAGAAATGGATGAACAACAAGCAAGTCAGCAGATGATGGGGAGGACATTGGAGAGGGGAAGATGGACAGTGGGGGAGGAGGGTAAACAGGAACAGCAGATAGAGCAGCGGATCAGGAAGGAAAAGATATTGAGGAAGAGAACTTCAATAAGAAATATATATATATATATTTCTGAGGTTTTTGCGGGTGTTTGTATGTAGGTCTTTGGTTATTGGGTTTTTCTCCCATGTCAAATTGGAAGTGTCTTGGCGACACCAGCCTGAAGATGATGAATGAGACTTCGTCAAAACGTCACCAAGACACGTGTGTGTGTGTGTGTGTGTGTGTGTGTGTGTGTGTGTGTGTGTAATTTAATAGCACTCCTTTTGAGGAAGCAGGGTGTAAAACATGATTATTTTGAAATTCCTTAGAGATATGTTAGAGATATTTATCAGTCAAGCTGGACAATAATTACAGAACTCTCCTACTCTCTTATTGTCTTTCTTGACATTTAAATCCTCTGGCACGTAAGAAGGGATCAACTACAAGTGATTTCTTAAGTAATTCCACATAGTGCATTCAGATTCAGATAAAAGGCTTTTGAATTATTCTGTGGTCTATATTATTTTTAATGAGCCAAATTTAAACATTGTGATAACTGAAGATTTATTTATTTGTATCCCAATAGGGCGCAAAAAGGAATTCCATATTCCAAGTCCTTTCATCTGTTTCCTGGACATTCGGTAGACTTTAATATATGTTGAATTCATTTATTTACGTATTGTTATTTTCTTAAAAACTAGGTTTTGGATTGCTTGCAGCTTTTAAAAGATGAGCCGTAGAAATGAATAATCATCCTGCTTTATCCACATATTAGAGGAAAGAAACTCAGAAAAGACCCCTCCCCCCAACTTATCAGGTTATAAAAGAGGTAGCGGGAGATTTGTACTATCAGACTTGCAGGTTTCTGTTAATATGGCCTTACAATAAACCTCTTCTGATAGTGTTTCCTGCTTGGTCTGTCCAGGAGGACCAACAAGAGGTTAAGTCAGTGAACTAGAGCAGAGAGACCTGAATTTTAGCCCTGCCTTAAGCATTGAAGTCAACTGAGTTACTTGGAGCCAGTCACTTTCTCTGATCTCTAGGAAGAAGACATGATAAACAGCTTCCAAAGATGTTGATTGCAGAAAACTGCAGGAACTTGACTAGGACTCAAGAGTGACACAAAAGCAACAACAAAAAAAAGAGAAAGTGTCACCAACGTATTTGCTAAAATAAATGCATATCGTCACACTAACATGAAAGATATCTGGGAGAGCTTGAAAATTAATATATCTGTTACGTCTCAACCTTTTATGGTTTACAGTCTACTTAATTGTATGCATGGAGTAATAATTTGGAAAAGATTGTGAGAATAGGGGGATTGGGAATGGTAAAATATGACGCCAAAGGAAAACAAAATGTAGGAGGTGGAGAGGAAATAATTAGTGCAAAATAATGGCCATTTATGAAACAGATGTTGCATGTGATTTTCATCCAGAGCATAATTTAGAAGGAGTCATTTTGTAGTCATTTATTTCAGTAAAACGTGGCCAGTCTAAGTTTATGTTGCAGCAGGTTATTATAGGTTCTTAACATTCCTTTAAAACATTTTATTTTGTAATAATGTTTGTGTTTGTGTGTGTGTGTGTGTGTGTGTGTGTGTGTGTGTGTGGTTGATACTTATTTATTTTGACTGTCATGATTAAGGCTGTCTAGTTACCAGGCTAAAGAAGGTTATGAAGGGTAGGCTGCTAAATTGATGTTTAAAGAACAAGAGAAAGATCTCTCTCACACTTTTTTTGTAATTTTCCCAGTTCACGGAAATTATGCTAATATTTCACCATGAACACAGAAAAAAAGAATGTCTAAATGCCTGTTTTTACCTCAGGAAATACAAATTAAGTAGAAATTGTACTTAATTTATTAAAATGAGTGAAATGAATATCTATTGGTTTGGTCCGGGACACTAACAACCAGTAGAAATAACGTTGGATTGATTATTTCATAAAAACATCAATGGTGTGCCTTTTGTTGTTGTTGCAATTTAGGAAAAGTCCCATGAAACCTCTCTGTCCTTGGCACTGGAGATATGTAGCCAAGTATCTGAGGGGTGCTGTATCTGTGTGATTTGTCTCCAACCTTCCATTCCTGGAAGTACAAATGGTCCCTCTGGTTCAGGAGCACAACCTTCAAGTTCTCATCATGTGACCTACCATGAAATTTCGAACGCTTTATGCAGGAGATCAATTAAGATCTGTATAAAGGATCTTTGGTCTCTTTCCTGAAAGTGCTGTCTGGAAAAGAAAGAGGAAATTGTATCGCTTTAGGAAATAAGGGTTGCTGAAAAAAGTGTCCACCATTTTTTACTTCAGCCTTGATGCATTATCCCCCCCCCAATAGATTATCCTTGAGAAAATGTGGCTCTTGATGTATGTTACCTGATTTTTGAAGGCACATGGCACAAACACCTGTTAAGCAGCTAACTGATTTCCAAGCTGGAGTCAGATCTGTTTAGAAGAGAGACCACCTGTATCAATTTGTTCAAAGTATAGTCATGGTTGGCAGTATTGCACATTGAAAATGAAGTAGTAGGTTAATCATTAAAATTAAAGAGGGAAATATAGGACATCAGAAAATGGAAGTGTTAATATGTTACTAAGAGCAAAATAAATGTATAGTGGAAAAAGACAGACATATTTTTTCACAAGCAACTTTTATCTAAACAATCTTTTCTTTTTAAAGTAGCAGGCATTTGCAAAAGTAATTTTAAATGAAAGTCAGGATTTGTATATATGAAATAAATGTTTCCTGTGCTGTCATAATGATTTTGCTACTCAGTCCATTTTGAACAATAAGATAGCATAATACATTCAACACCCTCTTCCAAGTTGTATTTAAATAGACTATAGATGAAGAAAAATATTAATAATTTCAGAATGAAAATCTATTACTTGGTGCAAGGAATTCTTTTTTTTTGATTGAGTAAATATGGAAATATATGTAAGATCTAATTTTTTAACTACTTATCTAGGCCATGGAAAGTGTGATTGTGGAAAGTGCAAATGTGAAGAAGGTTGGTATGGTGATGCTTGTCAATACCCAACTATCTGCAATTTTACACGGAGGAAGAGTAATGAAATGTGCAAGAATTCTCAAGACATCATTTGTTCAAATGCAGGTGAGATTTTTATTTTAATGGGTTGATAAATCACTTTGATGAAGTAGTTTTTAATCAATCATACAAAATATATTGTGTGAAAGCATTTAACTAGTGTAAAAATATAAGATTAAATGGTTATTATTAAGAAAGGAACTGAAAAGACCCTCATGGTCTTCTGTAGGCATTAAAATGTCCCCCAAGGCATTAGGCAAGGAAGTTAAATAGCAGTAGCACTTAAACTTATATACCGCTTCACAGTGCTTTACAGCCCTCTCTAAGCGATTTACAGAGTCACCATATTGCCTCCAACAATCTGGGTCCTCATTTTACTGACCTCAGAAGGATGGACAGCTGAGTCAACCTTGATCGACCTGCCAAACTGCTGGCAGTTGGCAGTCAGCAGAATTAGCCTGCAATATTGCATGCTAACCACCATAAATGCACTGACTTGGTGGGTAGGTGGCTGTTGATGTGGATATGTGCACTGCCCTCAAAGGGATGGATTTGCAGTTTTGTTCAAGTTTTAATTGGCTGCCCAGAGTCACATGTTGAATGGGCAGCCATGTAATGGAAAAATAAACAAATAGAAATATCTCCTGTCACCATCAGGAAATCTTTAAAGAAATCTATGGCACAAACAGACTTGGGATTCTGTATATAGCTTTGATTTCCAGACCACCCCCACTACCCCAATATATTTTAGAACTGAACAAAAGTTGAAGCAAATGTCAATCAAAATAATCAAGGAATAGAAACCACAGAGGTTGCCACCATACCCAGGGATTGGGATGAAGGGTGAAATGTCTATGAAGATTCTCAGTCATCCAGATAGAGTTGTCTGGAAGTTGTCGCCATGACAATGAAGGTGAACTAAACCAACTTATTACATCTATTAGTAGGATGTTTATTATACCTTATTAATGACATACATTACATAAAATTCTAAAAGAAACATAGGACATGAAATCACACATCCTTTTCTATGATAAACTGAATGATAACAATAAATTGTAATCCTAACGTCAGTACTGTGTTTCTGATGTTTACAGGTACTTGTCACTGTGGCAGGTGTAAATGTGACAATTTAGAAGGAAATGCATTGATCCATGGTAAATACTGTGAGTGTGATGACAGAGAATGTATAGATGAAGAAACAGGACTGATGTGCACAGGTGAGCATCTTTAAAGCTACGCTAATCACAGCAAACATTCTTTAGATAATCATGCTCTATCATTGAGGACAATTTTTGCAGGAAAAGGTTCTGCTCCAACTTGTGTTGAATACATCAATTTGGCTGGGCCTTAATCACAGCTGTCTTTAGAGATAATTTGGGACCAAGGCAAAGAATATTGCAGTTACTAGCCATTATTTCCTTTCAGAGAAAGGTAATAGCTTTTTTCCCTACTTTTTCCTTTGAAGAAGTTCTGCCACCCAGAGAAACTTGGTAACAGTAGCTGTAGTTGTGAAAATGACAAATAAAGTTTAGAAAAGTATAGCCTTGTAATATTCCCTATAAACAGACAATAAAAGGAGGACAGTATTTCTGCAGATCTGCATGAATGTTCTCTGTTGAAGCAGTTTGAAGATTACTCTGAGGCACTTTGGACTGGAAGGCAAGGAGCTTCAGAACATGCATGGCAACTGGCCAAATACTATCTGCAATTTCTTAAATTAAACACAACTTTTTTTCAGAATTGTGCCATGGATGTAGAGGGCAACTGCAAAATCTTGCATTTGTTTTAGGAGCTACAAAGAGTACCACTAAAGGGAACTTTTGCCTTTGAATCTGATGTATGTCTTAGGGCATTCCACCTCATATCATCAAGGGAAAGAGCAGGAGAGATGGCTAACTGATCCAGCAGCGAAGAAAGGAGTATTGTGTGCATACATTTTCAGCAGTGGCTGGAGGGCATTGGCATCTCCAAGGTAGTGGGCACAGCCTTGTGATCCGAACTTCAACCTTTTGAATGTTTATGATGATGAGGAAGATGATGCATAGACTAAACAAATGGAGCTAGATTACAATATTGTACCTACAACTTACAGAGGTTGACCTCTGCAAATACAGTTGTATACTTTACTCCAAACTGGGCACTGGGACTTAATTTGAACACCATACATCTTTCTTTTCCACTTCATATCATGGCACTATAAACACTTGGTCCTTTCCTTATATCCCTATTTAGCTGCAGCAAATCAACAAAAAGCTGCAGCAGGCCATTCCTCTATTAGCCTGACTCAATCCACCTACTGTATTACAGGATAACAGGAGGATTATTATCTCACAAGCTTTAATTAGAGATACCCAAGATTCATATGCAGGTTAGAAAATGACCTTTAGAGGCCAGCAAGACAGTATAGAAGGGGCAGTTTGCATAACCTTCTGAAAATTTAGCATTATAGTTAGTGCACTCCATTATCTAACTGCAGTTTTAATTGAAAGTTTCATTTATCATCAAATCTTCTGAGGCCAGAAGATGTCCTTTCTTTTTAAGACATAAATATTTACTTTTAAGATGAGGTCATTGATGGCCTATAACAGGGCTTTTCAGCCTTTTCACCCATTGTACCACTTTTAGGATATGGCAACATCTGAGTACCACCAGTCGCCTAGCAAGGTGTCAAAAACTTGATGACCTGAAAAAAAAGGAAAAAAGTGATAAAGTACAGGTAGTCCTTGACCTACAACAGTTCGCTTAGTGACTGTTCAAATTTACAATGGCACTGAAAAAAGTGCCCCCCAAGCCACAGCCGAGCAAGACACCTGCCTGCCTGCCTGGCGGCGCTCTTCCACCTGTCTGAGGTTTTCATTGTTGTGAGCATTTCTATTGAGGATTGGCAGCAGGGGTGGGGTGGGGGTGTTTGGTTTTTATTCCCCCTGTCTTCTGGGTGGTTGCAGCAGGTTTTGGTCATCTCATATGACCCTGGGACACTGTGACCATCACAAATATGAATCAGTTGCCAAGCATCTGAATGTAAATCAGAAGACCCTGGAGATGCTGCAACATTCCAGCTGATCGGCGCTTCTTCTGGGCTCAGCAGAAGCGCCAGGATCAATACTGCTTTCCAGCTGATCGGCGCTTCTTCTGGGCTCAGCAGAAGCACCAGGATCAGCGCCAAGCTCCAGCTGGAACCTGGCGCTGATCCTGGTGCTTCCACTGAACCCTGACAGCCCTGCAGCTCCAGCCATCTCTCGCTCAGGCTTGTGCGGTGCTGCCACCGGTTCAATTCATTCCCTTCCCCTGTTACCACTTTTCTAGGATGGTTGTGTACCACCGGCCAGGTGCCAATGTACCACAGGTGGTACCCATACCACTGGTTGAAAAGCCCTGGCCTATAAGAAGAACAACCTAATTTTACTCCTGAGAAGACAGTTGGAAAGTATGCCAAACAGCAATAAATTGATCAGCTCATGATTACCAGGAAAGAAACTATATTTCTGCCCCTCACCACCACCAATCCAATTAACCAGCAGATCTAAAACACAACCCAGGAATGGATGTTTCCTGTATTTATATTCATGCACTTTCTGCTGGAGAATCAACCTGAGAACTCCTGCCGCAATAAATGATTTTTGGAATTAGATCAGGACCCTAAACTTAGGTAATATTTGCTTATAGCTCATATAATTATAGCCATTTTTGAAAGACTTTTAATTCTAGAATAGAAAATGGACAGTCTTAAGAAGATGTTGCTTGGGACAGTGGACAACAACGCTAAAAACCATTACATGAAGGAGACCAGTAACTAAGATGAGAAAAGAACTCACACTGACAAGTAGGAGGAGTTGCAGGAGTATCACCCCTCTCCCATAAGATCAAATATGGTGGTAACCGGCAGCCCCTTCCCCTCCTGCATGTTAGAGTGCTCTAACCCAATCAAGTCTGTTTGTAAATCAGACTTAATCCCATAATAAAGATTACTGGCTAGCCAGAAGAAAAATAATTAAATCTCAAAGTAAAGATATAATCAGCCAGCTACTGTATCAGTTTAAGATCAATAGTTTGGCTTCATAGCTTGAGAAATGGATTCTTGTTTTAGACCAGTCTGTGGCCTGGTACTGATCCACAGTCTGTTGGGAACCAGGCCATGCAAACAGCACATGAGTGTGTGAAGCTCCATTTGTGCAAGCGGCAGGTCCATGCATGAAACCATTCCCTCCCTCTCGCTGCCGCTGCCGGTCTGCAGAGCTGGAAGGTTGGGGACTGCTGTTTTAGACAATATCTTATTCCAACAATACTGCTGCACATGAAAGTATTTTGATCAACTTTATTATTCCCACAAGAGCTTTTAAAAATCAATCTTTATAGCCATTTCTGCAAGGCAGAGCAATTAAGAAGCTAGCCTTGTACAGGAGAGCTAATAACCTTGCAGATAAATCTCACTCAACCCTAGTCCTTCATATTCTCAAGCATCTCCCTGACATTCTGCCTGGGATAAGCAGGCAGGCTGCAGACCCATGCAGTTCATACTTTGATGAACTGAAAGGGGTGCACGCAGAGAAAGGCTGCTGTTCATTTCAAGAATATCAAAGTGGGCTATAAGGATAAACTATCATTACCCATCCCCTGCTTACAGAACTATCCTTGGCAGACACAGATGAAAACTTGGTTAATTTACCAAATGTTGTATGTACCAGCCTACTGTTATGCCTCATGGTACCTAAAGATCTTTGGAAGAAGAAGGACAGAGGTTCATGAATAGAAGCCAAACTCAAGTTGCATGCCCGCCCGTAAATTCCCTATACTTCTTTCCACAAAATCTTGGAGATCTGAATACCATCAAGCATTTGGTCGCTTTAATTCAAAAGGGATAAGACATAATCTTTGTCTTCAAAAGAGGGATATGTCAACCCCAAAGAAATTAAATAATCTCATTGAAAAGCATTGCTAATTGAAATAACCCAAATTGACATCCTTTATCTGTCCCATTCAACATTTTTTTTCTACAAGAGACTTGGATAGATCGTTATTACACCTTTCAATATAATGCCTCTCAGACTATAAGTGAGTAATATCCTAAGGTGGCATAGCAATTTTGATTAGTACAGAATTGAAAGCAAAAGGCATCTCTTTTCCAACCTTGAAACACTTAGTGGTTTGTTCCTTACTATGCTTCAAAAAGATGGAAATCATTATGCTTAATATCTAGTTGAACTGTCTGAATCTCTTGATTTCCTTGGCACTTGACATCAACTGTCTGATGATAATGTTTTCACTGTAATATTTTTATGATTTTATTTTATCTTTAGTTTTGATTGCTGACTTTTTATTTGGATCATTGAAATAATGCTAATAAATTTGCAGCAAAATTTTTATCTGCTCCTTTCTGCAATCATTCTTTCTGGCTCTGGATGCCATCAGAAAACTGTCCAATATGACATTCATTGCAAAAGAACTCCAATGAGAGTTGTGTTTTGACAGATCAGAGTGACAAATGACAGCAATTGTTATGTTTATATTGATATAGGGCATAACGTAAATTAGTTTCAGATTTTCTCATTTCCAGGTGTTGAGTAATTTAACCTATTAAACTTGGGGTCACAAAGTCATATGCAATGTAATCATATGCATATCAATCTAGAAATAAGTTCTCTTGGATCAATAAGTAAATGGAACTTATACAACACCAATCAGAATTTGGCCCCGATTATAAAAACCAAAGCAGAACTAGACTTGATTAATATTTAGATAGGAAATCACCAGAAATATCATCCCTGCATTCTAGATTGAGAAATCCCAAAAAATTCCTGAAGAAGAGTAGTAAACTGTTGTGTTGTGGTGGTCCCTCAAGTTACTAAGCACTGAGCTTATTTCAAAAAAGATTTTAGATAAAAGATTGCAGTCATTACTCTGGCATATGTCACCCTATGCTTCCATTATTATAGGAATGATTCTACACTCAAATAACATTTTTTCTTCTTCTAGTAGGGTTTTCTTTTTTCTTATCAACCAAATATTGATCCATTGATTGCAATAAGAATTGACCAACCAGCTTGTTGCTTGAGCCTGATGTTGGGGCTGAGAAAGAGCAACTAGCCCGTCACCCAGCCATCATTCATACTAAGGTGGGATTAGTACTCACAGTTACCTGGTTTCTAACTTGGAGCCTTAAACACTAGACCTCACTGGCTCTCAAAACTCAAATTGATGTTGATGTTCATAAGTTCATATTCACATGAAAGACTAGACATGTTTAAAAGATTCTGATATTTTGAGGCTAGAGGAAGAATACAAACAGGCTGAAACACAATTTCAGAGAGATCCTGAAAACAAAGGATTGAAAAACAAAATGGATTTAATTAAACATAAACTCTGTATAGAGGATTCGGAAAAGTTAGCACAAAAACTACAGGCAGCTAAGCAAAATAACTTTGAGCACGTGAATAAATCAGGAAGATGGCTAGTGTATAAACTAAGAAGGCAGAAAGAGAAGCAATGGATTATTAATTTGGAAGATGAGAAAGGAGAGACTCAGGGGGAGGAGACTATAAAAAGGGGAATCGCTCAAAGATACTATGAAAAATTATATAAGAGAAATGAGGGGAAAAATGTAAGAAGGATAATAGAATACTTAGGGAAGGTAGACATACCGAAGATTCCGGAGGAAATAAAATCTATGTTAAATGAGGAAATAAGAATGGCTGAAATAATCAGGGCTATAAATAAACAAAAGATCAATAAGGCTACTGGTCCGGATGGAATACCTGCAGAACTATATAAAGAACAACAAAGTGCACTCAATCAATACCTACTAGAAGTTTTCAACGCAGTATTAATCGGTGCTAAAATACCTAAGTCCTGGTCGGAGGCAAATATAATACTGATTCCAAAAGAAGAAGCGGAAAAAATACGGATACAAAATTATAGACCTGTATCATTATTGAATTCTGATTATAAAATTTTTGCCTCAATAATGGCGGAGAGATTCAAAAAATACCTAGTTGATTTCGTACATTCGGATCAAAATGGGTTTTTACCAAACAGGCAGACTAAGCGGAATATAAGAACAATTTTAGACATCTTTGAATTTTATGAATCGCATAGCGATCATCAAGTGGCACTTCTGTTCCTTGATGCACAGAAGGCTTTTGACAATGTTAATTGGCAATTTATGATCCAACAACTAAAATCAATGGATGTTGGGGAAAAAAATTTAAACGTGATAACTGCAATATATTCTGAACAAAAGGCCCAGATCATAATAAATGGAGAGGCCACTGATAAATTCAACATACAGAAAGGCACAAGACAAGGATGTCCTCTCTTGCCACTGTTATTCATATATACATTAGAAATTCTTGCCAGAGTAGTAAGAAAAGAAGAGCAGATTAAAGGACTTAAGATCAAGAAAGAAACATACAAACTTCAAGCTTATGCAGACGACTTAGCATTTATATTAGAAGACCCAGAACAATCAGGCCAGAAATTATTCGAAATATTGGAAGAGTATGGGGATCTGGCAGGTTTGAAAATAAATAGAAACAAAACAAAGATTATCATAAAAAACATGACTAACATACAAAAAGGAAACCTCAAAGCAAAATTAGGTATACAAGTAGTTTCCAAATTAAAATATTTAGGGACAGTTATTTCAGCTCGCTGCTCATCACTTAAAGAAGACAATTATGGCAAATTGGTCAAAAATATAAAAGTAGATTTAGACCGCTGGAAAAATTTACATCTCTCATTACTCGGGAGAATTGCCGCAGTAAAAATGAACATCTTACCTAAAATGATATTCCTGTTTCAGAATATTCCAATTCAATTAGACAAGAAATTTTTCAAGGAGCTGAATAAATTAACCTTAGAATTTGTGTGGTCCGGTAAGAAGGCAAGAATAAAATTAAAGGCACTACAGGATGCCAAAGAGAGGGGAGGTTTAGGTTTCCCAGATTGGAAGCTATATTACCAAGCAGCGGCCCTAACATGGATTAGAGACTGGATAACCTTAGAAAATAAAAGATGTTTACATTTAGAGGGTTATGACCTGCAGCAGGGCTGGCATGCTCACATATGGATGGGGCAAAGCAGAAACTATCAATATTTTTTAAGACATAAGGTTCAGCAAGAATTAATAAAAAGCTGGAATATAGTTAAACATCAGTATTACACAAAGATCCGGCTTGGCTATCGCCATTGGAAGCAGTCACATACTCCAATTTGTACAGGACAGACAAAGCTATTATATATAAAGACATCTTGACAGAAGAAGGTTATTTAAAACAAAAACAAGAGCTAAAGCAACAAGGAATAGACATGGAGTGGTGGTCTTATCTCCAGATACAAGCAAGATACATGAAGGATAAGCAAGAATGGGGAATTAACAGACAAGATAACAGGGTTAGATAAAATACTGCTAGGCCCGGAGAAAAAACAAATACAGAATATTTATAAACACCTGTTGGAACATAAGCTATATGAGGAGCAGGTTAAAGAAACAATGGTGACATGGGCAATAGATCTAGGATATAATATAAATATGGATCAATGGCAGCAAGTATGGGAGCGAAATAACAAAATCACAGTGGCGACATCATATAAAGAAAACCTGTATAAGATGGTTTACAGATGGCTTCTCTCTCCGGCCAGATTAGCCAAAATGTATAATGGATATTCATCTATGTATTAGAAATGTAAAAAAGAAAAGGGCATCTTTTTTCATGTATGGTGGACATGTAGAGAAGCACAGATGTATTGGCGTATGGTCTGGGATTGGGCAATAGAAATGACTAGGCAAAATATTCAATACAAACCGAAGACATTACTATTAGGAATACTAGAGAAAAATGTAAATAAAGAGGACACATATTTAATTATCCATGTGGTCACAGCAGCAAGGATACTATTTGCTCAAAAATGGAAAGCAATGGAAGTAACGAGTGAGGAAGCACTAATAAAGAAAAGTATGTTTTGCGCAGAACTAGATAGGATAACTAAAAGATTAAAAAATCAGGAAGAAACAGAATTTTATTGAATATGAAATAAATTTTATAGATGGAGGGGAAAAATGGAGTTCACAGTAAAGAGATAAACTGAGATAGAGACTAGAAATGTATAGTTGTATATAGGTATATTATATGTAATTAATGTACAATATGGACTGAGATGTCAGTCAAAGATGATTTACCATGTTCAATGTTTTTAATCCTTTTTTTTCTTTGTACTTAATAAAAAACAAATAAATAAAAGATTCTGATCTTTGAAAACTAAAACATAAGAGCAAACAGCACTCCTTACTAGTACTGATGATGTTACCAAGTTAGGGTAATGAAACGTCTGCAAGAAAACAAGCAAGCTCAGAGAGCACCAAGGACCCCTCATTTCAACCCTGAGCTACAAATATTCTCCTTCGTTGGTAAAGCATAACACTCAGTCTAATCTAGAATAATTCCCCAAATGGAGGGAGTTGATAAAAAATGGAGACATCATAAGTAGTGAAGGGGGCAGAAATGAAGACTGTATAAAGAAAAATGTAAATATTCCAAAATGTGTAAAGTTGCGATTTGCTATACAAGGGCCGTGATTGTTTTAACCTTGTTATATTTTATGATTTATGATTATGATTTTTGAGCAAAATCTAACTCCCATTAGACAAATTTTCATGACACCTATTGATCAAACATCTAAGCTTAAAACTTTAAGTTTTCAAAAATGAACTCAATAGTTTATGTTTCTGGAAGGAACTTCACTGTCAACATTTTGTTTTGGGATAAGGCCATGGCATGTGTTACTGTGGAAACTGTTACTGCGAGGCTGGTTGGCATGGCGATAAATGTGAGCTCCAATGTGACATCGCCCCCTGGGAGATCAAGAAGAAGTGTACCTCTCCAAATGGCAAAATCTGCAGCAACAGAGGTTTGTTGTTCACCTTGGTTATCATCTAAGTGAACTTTTTTCCATGTTTGGCACTCTTCCAAAATTGCAGGGCTTAGAGAAAACTCAGCTGATTTATTATTACAAAAAGAAGGGTAGATATTGCTAACTGTGAACCAATGCTAATTTATTCTGTTTTATTTACCATCCTGTGTATTAATATAGTGAAATATGGTCCCCCCCCCAAAAAAAAATCATGTGCAAAAAGAGAGCCACATGAAGAAATGCTGGGCGACATAGCTGAACAATATCTAAACCACCCTAAGTTCCTCATAAATCACCTGTGATTTTCCATTATGGTGTTCATGCATAAGAGCTTAATACTTTGGAAAGGGTACCAGGTTCGGGAAGGAAAGCTGCTGAAAAATTACAATGTGGGAGTAAGCCAAGCACCTGAAGGCAGGACAAGAAGCAATGGATGGAAACTAATTAATCAATGGAACAACTTGCCTCCAGAAGTTGTGAATACTCCAACACTGGAATTTTTAAAGAAGAGATTGGACAACCATTTGTCTGAAATGGTATAGGGCTTCCTGCCTAAGCAGGGGGTTGGACTAGATTGACCGCCAAGGTCCCTTCCAACTCTGTTATTCTCTTATTCTGAGGAAAATATCTCACAATATCTGTGTGAAATCAGTGCATATGGAACAGCATTGGATGGTGCTATTTCAGGCCTTGGTCTCTTTTGTTTCCATGCTCTTTTTTAAATATTTTCACAAAACAGCAAAACTAGATTTCAGTGTAGATATGATACACATACTGACAGGTCCTTTTTCCAATCATGGAGTAGAAGAGTGCCCAAAGGGAGTCTAGGCAAGATGAATATTCAGAGAGGTACTAAGCAAAGAAAGGAAAATATAAGAGGCTGCGCCTTTCCTAGGTGATACTGTATTTTAATTGAAGATCAATTCTCCTGGTTGCAGTATTGATTCTAGGTTGTGACATGGTGTTATGATCAGGCACATCTTTGGTTTTCTCCTACCTCTACCCTCTATGTTACATGAAACTTTATTTTTATTTTGTGCATAAAATTAGATCTGTATAATGTCCCTATCAGTGAGATTTATAAGACCCTTCACTGCTGACTAAAGTACCAAATAATAAGTCTTTGTTCATAGGGAAGCATTGTTTGCTGAATTTGCAGTATGTGTGTGTGTGTATTTTTGTGTATGTGTGCAGACATATGAATTCTTGCTGTCAAGTTGGTAATTAGATGATGCTATTAAATGTACACTGGATGCAAATTTAGCAATATTTAAAATAGACTTTTTGAAATCAATACGGTTACATTAGTCATGACTTGTTTCTCTGTCTGTCTGTCTGTCCATCCATCCATCCATCTATGAAATTTATTTGCCACCCATTTCATATCCAATGGCCTATGTAAGTGTGCTCTAGATCCAACCCACTTTTTAAAACCTTATTTTTAAAATGTTATTAAAGAGAATTGAAGGCCAATAGGAGATTTTAATATATTGGTTGACTCAACTGAGACATTGCATTTTATTTCTGATATTCCACCAATGGAGAGGATTTAGCCTCTAAATACTGTGAATATGTAGATAAGTGTTGACTGCCATCCTGTGAAATGGTTCTCATGATTGTTGATTTCATAACAGAACCAACTCCAAAGACCTTACAGGCAATACTCCATTATGAGATAATTAGCCCTCATATTTTGCTCAGAATAAAAATTGTATCTAAATCCTTTGTATGTACATGTTAATTTTGATCACTAATTTATTATTTCATTTTCATTCAAATAATTTTAGTTTGATAGGAAAAATAATCATAAATGGATTAACTATATATTTCTAAACTGTGACAATGTTTGTTTTCACTAAGAAAATATTTAAAATATCAGCTGTTGTTTCTCTGACCACAGTCCAAATCTATTAGATTAAAGCAAAAGTGCAAATCTCAAAATTCATCTCTTTACTACATCTTTATTGACAAAACTCTGCCAAATGAAGAGCATCTAATTATCTTGAGAGCATTTATAAAACCCTCTCATTTTAATTATACAGCAATTTAAAAGCCCCGACTAAAATATTGAAAATACACACACACACACACAGAGACCCATACTTCTAGAAACTATGTACTAGATTGTAACATCAGTTTTGTAAATGAATTATTTGTCTATTTAATGACATGATTTCATTGAAAGCAATACTTTAAAAATATTGTGTATGGTTTTTTTTAAAAAACCATAGTTGACCACATAAGATCAGAAAGTGTGCCAGAAGAAAGGAGTATCATTGGAAGAAATACCCAAATAATCAAATTTTTAAGGGATACTGTATGGATTGACTCAAGGATAATTATGGCTGGGGCAATGATTTCTATGTACATACTTAATCATCTGACATATATCTTGGCAGTTCCCATTTTTACATTTTGGATGTCATTAGCATGTACTTTGTTCACATGATGGCATCTCTGCATTCTTCGATATGGGTGATGGTGAATTCTTTGATGAGGTTAGGTTGGGTGAAGCTCAATGGGAGACTTTGAGCTATTTATTGTCTCTTGACTCAAGCAACCTCACAGTTGGTGTGGGGAAACACAAGAGGAAGAAGTGTTTCCTCGAGCTCCTGAATGAAAACTATGAATACAACATTATTGACAACTTATATTCAACTTTCCTTGTTTTCATGCAGTCAGTAGTAATTACTAACATGTATACCTGGTCAAATCAAATATACATTGAGCTAAACATTCCTAGTTTTCATGCTGGTAGTGTTAAGTATACATCTCAGATCTTGGATTTCTGAATAGGGATTTTGCACTCATATATTATGATGGTTGAGTGGCACACAAGGCTATTTCAGCCATTTTGTTAGAAAAAAACAAATATATTCTAACTGGCATGTTTCATGATAAAAGGTGCAGCAATGCAGAAAATAAAATGCCTTTGAAGTCCCAATCTCTCTTGGTGATTGGGAATTGCCTATGGTTGGGAGGACGCATAGAACAGAGCCTCTATTTACATGTCATCCATTCCCCATCTTTATTGATCCAAGAAGTTAAACTCACTGTAGTTTAGGGTATTACAGAAAAGTGTAACAGAAGCTTGCAAATAGAACAGAACAGAACAGAACAGAATAGAATAGAATAGAATAATATGGGTTAAACAGCATCACCACCAGATGATTTGTAACTGGCTGACCAATTGCACTCAAAGTGTAGTCCTTAATGAAACTGCATCTACATGAAGGGAAGTATGTAGTGGAGTACTCCAAGACTCTGTCTTAACCCAATACTCTTCAATATCTTCATCAATGATTTAGATGAGGGGATAGAGGGGGAACTCATCAAATTTGCAGACATCACCAAGCTGGCAAGAATACTCATTCATTGGTGAGAAAAGTAAGGTTCTACATGCACAGGTATAGTAATAGTAATTGTGAAAGGGATCTTGGAGTCCTAGTGGACAATCACTTAAATATGAGCCAGCAGTGTGCTGCAGCAGCCAAAAAAAGCCAACACAGTGCTAAGCTACATTAACAGGGGGATAGAATCAAAATCACGTGAAGTGTTAGTACTGGTATCACTTTATAATGCCTTGATAAGACTGCACTTGGAATATTGCATCCAGTTTTGATCACCACAATATAAAAAAGATATTGAGACTCTAGAAAGAGTGCAGAGAAGAGCAACAAAGATGCTTAGGGGATTGAAGGCTAAAACATGAAGAACGGTTGCAGGAATTAGGTATGTCTAGTTTAATGCAAAGAAGGACTAGGGGTGATATGATAGCAGTGTTCCAATATCTAAGGGGCTGCCACAAAGAAGAGGGGGTCAACCTATTCTCAAAGCACCTGATGGCAGGACAAGAAGCAGTGGATGGAAAATAAGGGGAGAACCAACCTAGAACTAAGAAGAAAGTTTCTGACTGTGAGAGTAATAAATTAGTGAAGTGTGAGTGCTTCAACACTGGAGGTTTTAAAGAACTGTCTGAAATGGTATTGGGGTTGGACTGGGCCTCCGAGGTCCCCTCCAATGCTTTTTTCTGTTATTCTGTTAACTTAGCAACATTTTGTGTAAAAGGCTTTTCTTTGATAATGGCAGGAGTAGAAAGACATGTTGTTTGAAGACCAGATAAGAGGAATGATAGTGGCTCTGATTCAGTGTGCACACCCAAAACTCTCTAGGGTTGTTTGCACAACAAAGCATCCCATGCTGCTTAGTTATAAGCAAATAATCTTGTTCAATTGCTCTTCTCTCTGAGCTGCACAGCATGGACACAGTAGTCCCCAGCCTGTTTAATGGCTTACCGTACTGTGTGAACACAATGTTCCCAGGGCTTCCAGTAGGAACAAATTTGTTTAAAGTTTGTTTATGGAGGAGATCACAGCAGAAGACCCCGCACATTGCATTTGCTCAGCATAGTAAATGATAAACAAACTACCTACAGCAGATACCAAGCCATAGCACACAAAGAGGAATGACTGAATGTGGGTGTGTAATAATAACAAACAAGCTTGGCTATTGTGTTCATTTAATGTTGTCTGGGTGTGCAGGTAGTCCTAGGGGTCTTTGTGAAAGATCCCAGAGAGCTGAAGTTAGTGCTCTTTACAAGGAGTCAAAGAACTTATGATACCCAGGGTAAGTGAAAATATAAACTCAGGAAAGCAAACCTAGTCACATCCACATATTATAACCAAGAGATAATCAAGACTGAATTATTGTGATCTAGGATTCACCTGCATTTTCTTTTTCTGTTGCAAATGTTGATTTCCTCTAGTTAACATGTTCAGGAATGATACATTTTATCTTGAAACAGCCATTTCAAACACAAACTGTTAAGTCAAGAGTTATACATGATCAGAATAACAGTTCTCAACATTTTTTGGACTCTCAGTTTTTGAAGGTTCCTAGAATATAGTTAACATCTGGAGGCCAATTGCTGATTTTTCTTGAATACTAATTTCTCAGTGAATGTATGGACAAAAGGGATTAAAACCCAAATAACTGGATTTAAATTCTTCCTATCTAAAAATATATATGTAGAAAGATTTTTAAAAATTGCATCTCTCCTTCCTTGGAGTATTGCATCACTAACCCACCCTTGTGGCTCATGCAGGACTTATTTTCATGGCATCGAGCTAGGAAAAGATTGCCCAGCCTTGTCAAATTTCATTTAAATACAAAATTGAGTTGTTGATTTTACTTTGATTCTGTTAAATATCAACTTTTCCTATTGTAGGAACATGTGTGTGTGGAGAATGCATATGTCATGATGTTGACCCAACTGGAGATTGGGGAGATATTCACGGAGATACCTGCGAATGTGATGAACGAAACTGCAAGGCAGCCTATGATCGATACTCAGATGATTTCTGTTCAGGTGAAGAAAATAATTCAAGGACTTAATGTGATCTCAATGGAAGATTTAAGATGCTTTACAATAGAAACTCTAATAATACAGATCCCAAATAATAACATACATTGTTAAAATCCTATTTATGCCAAAGTTATAAACTTGTGTCTTGACTTAAGATACAAATACATAGGATTGCATGATGATACAGTCCCACATTCTGTCATTTCCTGCCTTTGTCCCTTTCATCTGGAGGAACAGAATGATCCCACTCCACAAGAATTCCAGAAAGTGATCTGGTGTTTTGGATCTGTATTTTGCCATATGAATTCATATCTTCCTGAATGGTCAGACTAGTACCAATAAAAGATAATATTTGTAGCTCAGAATTGATGTGTGGGCTCCTTGGTATTTTCTGAGCTTGGTGTTTTCTTGAAGACATTTCATTGCCCAATAAGTATCATCATCAGTTCTATGTTTATGTTCATTACCTAGTCAGGTAATGAAACATCTGTAAGAAAACAACCAAGCTCAGAGAGTACCAAGGACCCAAAATTACTACATCTAGCAGTTATAGCTTCAAAGTTAAATAGCTGCTCAGAATCTCTTGTTTTTTGAGATAGGCAGCTATATTATTTGGAAAAATAAATAAAATATGCAGATACATTGAGGTGTTTAATGCAAAACCCCAAAGCATGGAGACTAGTATCTTGCAATGTTTCCTCCTTTATGTCCAAAATAGTGAACAAACATTTATTACCCACTTTTATTTTGTATAACTCAGAGTGGCAGATAAAATGCTCCCTTCTATTTTCCCCACAGAACCCTATTGGATGGGATGAGTTGAGAGAGGGCAACTGGTTTAAAGTCACTCAGCTGGGAAAAAGATTAAGACTCAGAAGTGCTCAATTTCTTGTCCATCACTATACAAAACTGGCTCTCTAAATATCCTTAACAACCCATATTGATTGTATTCATGTCAGCCAAGCACCAGTGGAGCAATTGAAGAATCAGAAGGAGGTAGATAGATGAGATTATTTTGGCTTGGAACAAACTGAGTCAGTGCCTGTCAGGTGAAAAACTTTCATCAATTATGAAGAAAAAACTTAAGGAGGAAACAAAGTCTGCAAGAATGTATTCAAATTAACCATCTGGAAATTGTAATAAACCAGTTTGCAAATCTAAGAGCCTGCCTAGAATTAAATGAAACATTTAAAGATTTTATACTGAAAATCTGGAAACCCTATTGTTCAATTTTACCTGGCGGAGTTTCCATTGGAGATTCCCATACTCTCAATATTTCATTTCACTCCAAATTGCTGATTGTTGTCTTCTTCAGACCAGATTTAAATAGCAGATATTATTATAGAGATCCTACCAAAATCTCCAGCTGGGAAAAAATAAACTTCTTTCTAATAACCTCTCTCTCTCTCTCTCTCTCTCTCTCTCTCTCTCTCTCTCTCTCTCTCTCTCTCTCTCTCTCTCTCTCTCTCTCTCTCACATTCTCAGAATTAGAAAAAAAATAAAAAATGCCTATAATGCAGTTTCCTATACCCCAATTTCCTATGAAGAAAAGTTATGTAAATTTTTATCATTCTATACACATGTTAGGAATGTGATAGAAGGTGATTCATTTATTTCATTTTATTATTTTCTACATATATATCATGTTTGTTTGCATCAGGAAACTCAAGCAGAGTACACAAATTTCCCAGGAAGTTTTTAAGGAAATTTCTGAGTTTGAATGATACAAAACTTTGCCTTCCATTTGTTTCAGAATTTCAGCCCCCCCCCCCTCACCCACTAGTGCAGCTAGCAGGATGGAGATGTTTTTCAAATATTTTATCTACAAGAACTTGATGGAGTTCCATAAGAGATTAAGGACACACAAACAAACAAAAAAAGGGGGGGAGTTCATCTGAACGCAGATGAATATAATTTTCTACTACTAGAGGTCTAATTTTCGATCACAAGGTTCAAGGTTGAGTTTTGTTTTGTTTTTACATTAATATGTTCTGTGGCCTATAAAAGTTTTAAAACTCCTTATCTGGAGGACACCAAATTGCCTACTTCTTATCTAGCCTAGTCTCTAAACTGTGTCATTGTAATTTTAGGGAAGCTTACTACTTTGGTAACCACCATTTTTTTTAAAAAATAGATCTTAAAATCCCCATAGCTTAAACAAGAACACAGAACTTTTCTGCTTGGTTTGCTGGACTTTTAATACAAAGGTTTTATGGAGTTCCTGGTGCTCTCTGAGCTTGGCTGTTTGCAGGTGTTTCACTACTCATTGAAATTCCTGGATAATGAAAGGTCTACAAACAAACAATCAAACTCAGAAGACACCAAGAACTACTCAGTTCAATCCCGAGCTACAGATATTGCCTTCTGTTGGATAGAGAGTTATTGACATATGAAAGACTTAAAAGATTATCTCTGATCTTTGGTCAGAGAATGGCTGGCTCAGAAATTCTGGAAGTTGAAGTCCACGAGTCATAAAAGAGCCAAGGTTGCCTACCCCTGGTATGTTGGAACTGTGACAGAATTCTGGTTGCTATCCTACTGTTGTACCGCAGTTGCTCTGAAATGAAAAAGATTTTAAAAAGTTAAATAAGTGCTTGAGACAGGATGTTTGAGAAGTCGGGCTATGTGCAAAGATATGGGAATATATATGTGCCCCCAAAGTCTCCTTGGTCCAGAAGAAAAAATGTAAAAGACTATTGAAGGAAGTTACAAGTATGATACAATGTCCACAGAAATTGGATAAACAAAATATGAAAACGTGAGCGGTAGCAAGTAGGTACAGCAGGCAGTCTTAGTTCCACTGACTCATTTAAGCAGGAGCTCAGAAATTTTAGGCTACTGTATGGAGATGAAATACTGTATGCACATTTGTTTTGCTATTAAGGTCACGGCCAGTGTAACTGTGGACGATGTGACTGTAAGACAGGATGGACAGGGAAGAAGTGTGAACATCCAATTTCTTGTCCTATCTCAGCTGAAGAGAGCCTTAAGAAATGCCAAGGAGATTCACATCTTCCGTGTTCTGGCAAAGGTAGGTTACTTGGATTTTCCAGGATGATCATAGCTCATTTGTGGAAGCAATTTAGTTTCACCAAGCATGTGCATTAGTTTACAGTCAAATATTTGTTTTAGATTAGAGCAGCTCCCCAGCACTGCTGGTTGCTTGCTTAATGTTATCTGGAAAACAAATGAAGCAGAACAATGAGGCACAGATTTGCTTGATGAGCAATCCATCATGTAGACTTTGCCACCTGCTCATTTTCCTCCCTGGCCTGCTACTTTAAGTGGCAAGGATCAGCAGGTGGCTTGGGACCTCAAAAGTTCTAATTCAGCAAACCTGATGCTCAAAAGATCGTCCTGATTGTTTCATGATTTGGGTCATCCTTCACGTTGCTGCATCATGTAACTTGTGAACATAATATGCTATTAGCATTCAGTAGGGAGTGAATATGCTTAGTTTTAAGGGTATGAAGAATTCCTTTTTCTATTTCCAATTTTATAATGATAATGTACCATGCATTATATCTGCAACAACTATGTGCTGACCTGATGCTTTGCTTGTTCATGGGTTGGTAATAGTGATGCAGTCTTGCCCACTTGGGGGTGGCAGAATATTTTAAGTAATAAATATTCAGGAGACATCACTCCTAAAAATTGATAGCAAAATGTGAGGAAGTATTAACATACACTGGATAGTGAGCAACATTGCCATCTTCACTCTGCATGGCATTATAAAGACTCTCTGAACTGAACAACTGTTTCAGGGGTAGAATTGAACCCATATTAATCGTGCCATAAAAAGCTACATAGCTGACTAGGTTGCAGCTGCATCTGATTATTTGTAATTTGAAAAAGTGTTAGCTGGACTGTGTAAAGCAATTAATTAGCTAAAGAAAAATTATTTCACTTGACCATTCTAGTGTTATGGGTTACAGCAAAATGTTAAATGTGGAAATTTGCATATTTTATAAATAGAGAAAAGTAGCGCAGGCATTTCTTACAGGAATTATAGCATTATAATTTCAATATTAAACTTTTAAAAGTGACACTGAGATTTGCAACCAAGCCTTTAGGTTTCTTTAAAAGTGAGGTCTTTATTGGAAGCAAGTAAATTCTACAATGTAATAGAAGATAATTCTGGAATGCCCCTTGAAACTTCTGAAAAAAAATAACATATTATGGGTTAGTCTTCTGTATTTGGTTTTCAGCTATTGATCCTTGATTTGCTATTTTAAAAAGAGCACTTTTTTGGTCTTTCCATGTGATTAAAGAGAAATCTCTTACAATCTGAAGCATCTACAAGGTATTGGCTATTACCATTCTTTCAATAATTATTGTTTTGCTAACAATGATTGTAGTACATGAACATGTTTATTTTATAATATCTATAGTCTGTCCTAATCAACAAGGAAGATCCATGACCAGTGTGGATATCTATTTGAAGAAAAGCCTAATAGATGACCTATTACTGAATCAAATAATTGCCCACTGAAACAATACTGTTATGGCTTGTTTACAAAATGCCAATTGGATAGGGACTTTTTGTAACTACAAGAGAAAGGAGACTGCTATTAGAAGACCTGTCACCATATACTTCTCAACGAGGTTGTTTCCATAAACAGGTCTTTTCCTGCTGGCCAGGCTAGACCATAAAGTTCAGTTCTGGTAATATGTTGTGTGATATATCCTGGCAAGGCTTCAAAGATAACTATACTGGGGATTAGAACCTGACAGTGTTATGGTAGTAACCATTGCAGCAAGTTCAGAATTTGGGCTATTCTAATTTGATGGGTTATCCTTTACATTTTCTATGAGCTGGATCCTAACTAAACAATCAAAGCACAAGCAAAATTTCTCCAAACCCTGCCATTCTTATCATAATTCACTGTTCTGATTAAACAGATAGGGGAGAATGGTTTTCTGCGTCTCCCTTCCTTTCAGGTTCTGAACTCTTTTTTCCAAACTCAGATCTTTCAGAAGCTGAAACATAGGGAAATTAGTTATTATCCCAACACATTATTCACCTTAAAATATTTTATATTCTGGGGTGATATCTAGGTTGCTGTGTCCTCCATATGTATATGTGTGATCCATATATATATATATATATATGCTTTCTGAGGTTTTCGCGGGTGTTTGTATGTAGGTCTTTGGTTATTCGGGTTTTCTCCCGTGTAAAATTGGAAGTGTCTTGGCGACGTTTCGACGAAGTCCTATTCGTCATCTTCAGGCTGGTGTTTTCAGCTTCGTGCTCCTAGAAGCACGAAGCCGAAAACACCAGCCTGAAGATGGCGAATGAGACTTTGTCGAAACGTCGCCAAGACACTTCCAATTTGACGTGGGAGAAAACCTGAATAACCAAAGACATACATATACATATACATACATACATACATACATACATACATATATATGTTTTTTTTATTATACATCTTACCTTAACTATTTAATCTAGTATACCTTTCACATTTCTGAATCCTACCTGTTCTTTTAGTATTTCTGTTTCTACATTTGGATCACACATGAAATTTATGCAATGGTTCAATATTTGCACATTCTGTTGTAGCTCTTTCTTCTATACATCTTTCATTGTTCTGGTTATTTCCTTCACTTGTTGACATCATTAAGCTATTTTACGTATTTGACATTGAAACCTATACTCTGCTGTCATATGTCTATCATAGATAACTATGCAAATTAGTTTAATTTTGGTCTATTGTAGGTAATTCCCTTAATCAGTCAGCAGAATATTTCACCTATTGGCTATTTTCCAGATACTGAAACTTTCTCATCTGTCACATGTATATGCTTCCTTATTCCACTCTCTTTTTAATAACAAAAGGTCACTTTTGCCTTTAAAATCCACACAGTTACTACCATTCTTATTACATCAAGAAATTCGCCCATCATTTGGAACAAATGGAGAATGCTAATTAGGTCCTTTAATTGCTATGGTCAGTACCTATAATGTTATCACTCTTTTTCTGTCTTTTCCATCATCATCTGTAGCCACTATAGTCATGTAGCATAGGGATCATGGGACTTAGTTTGTAACCAAATGTTTGCAGATAGAATGATTTCATGTGCCTGTTTCTACATTTACAGATTAAGATGATACCATTCAATTTTTTCATAACTCAGTATGAACAGAGAATACCAAGTTTTCTCTCCACAAATTATTAAGAAGTTGAGGATATTTGAAAGTGGAGTGCAATATTCTTAAATTATAGGCAAATGAACTAGTAATTATGAATTACTCCAGGCAGGTAGGTTATTGATGTTTTACCATACTAGCTAATGATAAACATAATTAGTAATTTTAGTTTTATTAATGCAGGGGTACAGTTCACTAAGAAAGTGTAATAGTAATAATAATAATAATAATAATAACCCCCAGTGAGGCACTACCTTGACGTGGTTGTGGGGCTTGTGTACTCTGAGGAAGATGAGAGCTATGCCAGAGGTTCAACCATACTAGACAGGTCTCATCAGAGGAGTCAGACAAAGAGTGTCTCTCCCATAAAAAATATGGTGAGACGTAAATTTCAGAATGCCATACCGGCTCGGACGTCGCCCGGGTTAACAAGGTCCGCACTAGATATTGGAGTTCCTGGATATCTGGTGAAAAATGGGTTACAGGACTCAGGACTGTTGGCTGAGCAACCAGGGCCAGCAGCTGCAGAACTACTGGAAGAAAAGGTGTTTACCCGTCGCAGATACACAGTGATGGAAAACAAAGAAATAATGATCTGTTACTACAGATCAAGCCCAACAAGAAGAGGATATCTAAAACGAATGCACCAGTTCTGGAAAGAACAACATCCAGAATCAGAAATAACAGAACAGAGACTAGCAGATCAACGCCGATTTATAACACGAAATAAAGTATTCACAGAAACAGAATTGGACGAACTGCAAAGGTTTACCCAGGGCAAAGAAATCAAAGCCTTACCAGAAGTAATTCAGAATGTAGAGGCAAACCAGGGGGAGTTGGCAGTGAAGGAATCCAGCAGAGATATACAACTGTTCTCATTTGGAAACCAGGCACCTCTTCCTCAGGAAGAACAAAACCCTCTAACTAAAGAAATAAAAGAATTGAAACAAAGAATAACTGAGCATCTAGAACAGCACAAAAACAACAGAATAAGGCTACCTGCATTGAAGCTTGTTCCAAAGAAACAGCTAGCACAAGCATTAAAAGATGCAAATACTGCAATATCAAGTATAAGCACCAATTCACTGCAAGAAACAAACCAACTAATGTATAGCACAGCTGCAGTTATAACAGAATACCTGGGATGCAAAATCAACAAAGAAGAAAAACAAACAAACAGTGCACCAGAAAAATGGAAGGTTAGACTAGAAAATAAGATCAGCAAGTTAAGATCACATGCAAGCAAGCTAGAACAGATGAAAGAAAAGAAGCTGAAGAACAAGAAGACCAAAGAATACCTAATCAAGAAATACCACTTAGAAACAAGGAAGATCAAGGAAGCACTGGAAATAATAAAGCAACAAATAACAGCTATAGCCAGGAAAATCAGTAGATATGAAGCTCGAATTGCAAACTATAGGCAGAACCTCCAATTTCAATCCAATCAGAAACGTTTCTACCAATCCATCAATGGAGAAACTGCAAGGAATCAGTCAGTACCTGACAAGGAAGAAACAGTGCAGTTCTGGAAGCAGATATGGGATAACCCAAAGAAATACAACAAGGATGCGGCTTGGTTAAAAGAGGTGGATGCAAATAAAACAGAAGTTGAAATGAAAGAACTAGTAATAACAACAAAAATGGTAGAAAAAAGAGCAAAGAAAATCAAAAATTGGTCAGCACCAGGTGAAGATGAACTGCATGGGTTTTGGTTGAAACATCTAACTGTTATACACCCACTCATTGCCAAACAGTTCAACAATATACTACAAGGAGGAGAAATTGAAAAGTGGCTAACAACTGGGAAAACCTACCTAATAATGAAAAATCCAGCAAAAGGGGCAACACCAGGTAACTACAGGCCAATTACCTGCTTA